AAAAAAAAAAAAAAAAAAAAAAAAAAAAAACAAAACAATAAACACTCATTTATCCATTTTAATAAACAGGCACACAAACCAAAGAAAACTAAATACAACATATCATGTTCAAAATACAAAAAAAAGTCAGTACAATAAAGACACATGTGAAACAAATGTAAACAAAATAAAGTAAGAAAACCTTTTTCCAATAGCATAACAATAAACGATAAGCTAAGTGAGCCAAACATTTTATTACCTAATAATTAATTGTTACTGAATAAGTCATTGAAATAGAATACTCATACATTAACCCAAATGTATGAGCATTCTTTTAAAGAGAGGAGGTGTAGCATGACAGCTAAGCAAAACAAAATGTTCACACAATATTAAGTAAAAAGTTCAATATACTTTTGGCAATAACTAGGCCAAAGTACCCAAATCAATTTAGCTTGCGCTGCACTTCTCCAATAACATAAACTCGATTGAACCCATATACATTTATGTATGCATGCACAACAACGTACAATCATAAGCATGACTAACAACTTAGAAATGTAAGTTTGTAATGAAGATTACTCATAAGGTAGATTGTAAGCATATAAAAGAACGGCGATGAGCCGAATAAAACATTCCCACTTTAAGACTCAACGTTTTTACTTGCGTTTTACTTTTGGAATCATTGTGGGGCATTTTAATGCTTACCTAAATGCGGCTGTAGAGCTAAGACAATACTAAACTCTTTCCAATCTTTACACCCTTATTATGAGTTGCATTCCATTTCCGATCTTCGCTGGTTATCGAAGATCGAAAGTGAAATTCGTATTATGAGCTATGCAACCGTGTCAAAATTTTCGTTGAGTATCGAATTTTCTGTCGAACAGAATTTTGCTTTCGATGGTATAGCGAAGTGTTAGAAAATTGTGAAAAATGTATGATTTTGCATTTGTTTTCTTACGTTTTGGCGGGTAGGCACGAATTTTAAACAATTTTTATCAATTTCATGCAGTTTTAACGTCGTGAATACAAAACACAAGCTTGAAAGGCTGCTTTTACTTGTGAAAGAAAATCCCAATACTCAGTTGGCACAATCTCTGAGAACAAATCATAGAGCTGTGGATAGTTTTAAAATATTTTAAATAGATTTGACTCATAAACGCCTCTTTAGACAGTCGGAAGTTTTTAGTAAATCTGTAGTCAAATTTCTTAAATATATTTTATGTCAAAATATATTGTAAAGACTACACTTAAACTCTCTTAAACATTTACTACTCCTGGTCAGCTCACTAAACTCTCATCCTCTGACGAATCGTTGAACCCCAGAACTTCGTTGTACTAATTTTTACCAAGTTTTTATAAACTTGCTTTCTTTTTTATTTCATTTTAATTTGCACAAATTTACATAAATATGTATATGTATAAGCACTATTTAATTTGCTCGATTTGTAAACAAAGCTTCTCAGCGGTGAAAAATATACTATTGTGAACAACATAAACGAGCGAAGTTCACAATAGCGCTATTCTTCATCGAATGAGCGCCATAATACCAAATGAAAATTCGTTCGATCAGCACTTTCGACCACAGTCGAAGATCGAGTGTAACTCATAATAGGGGCCTAAATTCCGATGAACTAATCACATGTTTCTTGCCAGCTACCAGCACGGTTGCTTAAGTAGCTAAAATGAAATTTTACCCGAGTTGAACGTTCTTTTGACGCTCGCTTACAAAAAAAATGCAGCTAACAAATATATATAAAAAAAGCGGAGGAAAATAAACCAGCCAATGCGAAATGCTTTTAATGCTATATATTGCGTCGTTCAAAGTACAAAACCGCGTAGGAGTAAAACGCGTCTTATTTCCAAACGGTTCTCTCATTTATCCCTAATTATCTCTTTTTCTTATGTCTTAGCATCGACATTTTAATATGAATGAATAAGGGCTTAATGCCAGGAACTTCCGGTGAGCAAATAACTTTTTTTGGCACAAAAGCTAGTTACGAGGCTTTGCAGAACCATGATACGCGTTTTGGAATTTAAACGACGATATGTACCTGCAAACGGTTTTTGATGCGTCATACTTTATTTTACAAATTTACCAAAATTATAGTAAGTTTTAAATATAAAAATTTCCGCTTACTGGTGACATTGACAAACAAAATTATGCGTAAGAGTAACGACAAACATGCAATTTTAAAAAAATAGCATTACATACAATATTGAGCTCACCCTGACCTGGTTGTTCCATGCTTTACGATACCCATCACGGCCAGACCACACGTATAAACGACTCTGAATGCCCACTGCACAATGACCAGCTCGAGCTCTTGGCACGTCTTCATCTACTGTATCAACTGTTACATTCTCCCATGTCATTGAATCTGTGTAACGACTTGAATGAAACGAGCTTAAAGTTAAAAATAATAGAGCTACTAATTACCCAAATCAAGAACTGCCAGGGTATTTGTACATTTCCATTCTCTTTCAGTTGTTGCTTTTGAGTCGTTTATTAGTAATGGTACCCAACCACCAAAAACATACATTTTATTACAGATCATTGTAGCGCTATGTAGAGACCTAGGTAAAGGTGCATGACCACGTGTACGCGGCTTAGACCATGTCATAGAATCTATTGTTAAAAAATGGTAACATTTTTCATCAAATTGCATGGACTTTTGTTGTAGTCTCCACCTACCAACATCCAAAAGCCATAAATCACCCAACCGACAGCCACTCATGCCACCATATATTAACAAATTTAGCTTATTTGTAGTTTTGCTCGTAAAAGCCACGCCCGTGTGAGACTCACGTGGTGGAGGACTTTCTCCGTAAGTTTTTGGTATGATCCACTTGCCATTGTGGCTGTGCACTGCACGAGTTTCCAATATGTACAAATCGTTGAGATATCTACATATCAACGTGTTACGTTGTTATGAAAAGAAAACTGTATAAGCCTAAGTGCCGTTTTCTGAAGTTGGTTTTAAAATTCGCCTGCTTTTTAAATATATTTTTTTCAGAACAAAATTTGTGTTTAAAGGGCATACAAAATTTAAAACCTACTTCAGAAAACAGGCCTAAGTGTTAGCTTACTTGGGTATATTGTTTTTGGGATCATCAGATTCGTTGGCCAGCCCACCAAAAAGAAAAATACGATCACCAACCATAGTAAAACTATGGCCCAGGCGCGGGCAAGGCGCAGGTCCATTATCTGGCAATTCGGGATTCATCTTGCGCCATTCCCATTTTGTAGCTTGTAACTCATAAAGTTCATTAGAATATTTGCCATATTCTATCATGCCACCAAAAACGAACATGCGCGTACCAACGACAACGAAGCCGTATGCAGCGCAACCAGGTGGCACTTCACCACGCATGGCCGGTACAAACCATTGATTGGTGACTAAAAAATTAATTATTTTCATTAACTGAGATATATAAATTTAGTCTTATGAAATAATCACCTACCGGAATTATATACATGAAGTTCGTCAACAATACCCTCATTGCCGCCTCCAAAAACAACCATTAATTCCTTTATGTTTATAGCACGATGTCCATGGCGTGGACGTGGTTGGGGCCCAGATGGATTGCTTAGGCGTTTCCAACGAAATCTTTTGGCATTATTGTTGTTTGCATTGTTCCCTGAAATAATTTTTTAATCGTGCTCCTTATTCAAGTGACAGAATTTTGTTTCTTCAAATCAGTGGTGCACACGGGAGTCTCCGGGAGATACTCGGCTTTCACACCCAAGTCGTGTGTGCGCAGCTACCGAACTTATGCGCCGCTAGCAGCCGGTCAGTTTGCGTTTGTACTTCATGCTGTAAGCATCACATGCGCGAGGTGTTTTGCTGAGTACACACATACAAACACAAAAATATTGCGCTTGTATTGGGAGCTCTGCCAACGCTGTGCACCACTGCTTTAAATAAATCACTCACCATCGTCGATAAAGTTCTCTATTTCGACTTCCATGTTGTCGCAGTTAGCCCCATTGTTGTTACGATTTCTGACCAATGACGTCTCTTGTTGCACTGATTCGATTTCAGAAGTACTTGCAGTAGTCATATCGCTAGTACTTATCAAGTCAGAAGACTCCATTATTTCAATTTATATTAATTGTAGTTGTGAAGATATATAGACTGACTTATAAGTTATCTTCTACTTAAAACATACAAGCATATTGTAGGTTTTCAGTAGATAAAGGTTGTATTTTAGATGTCTTATTATCTGTAATATAAAACAGTATATAAATTGGTTCTACTAAAAACTATTTGTTATAGCTTCGCAATAAGTATATAATTAGGGGATTCCCTGAAAAGCAAAAAAGTGGAGAACTCAAAACCCTCGAAAGGCTGTTTTTGAGAATGCACAAAGGAGCCTCGTATACAATGTCACGGTTCCATCAGTTTCTTGTAATAATAGATGGTATCAGCTGAAATAAATATAAAAGAAAAACATTCAAAATGCCGCGAAAAAGTTATAAAAATTTAAGTTTATGGCTC